TGGTTTGATGCAGTGCTATCCTGAATATGGACCTATGGTCCTACTCCCTAACGAATAAGATGGCCTTTAGGAGCTAGGTGAGCACTAGCTATCATAACAGTCCTTACATCCTCAGCAACTCGAGAATTCAGTGGGGTCCAACTAGAAGAGAGGAGGAAGGAGACCCGGTTTTTAGAACTATCTGGATGACACACAAAGCAATAATGTGATTGACCAAAACTTGACAATACAGTTTGAGGGTATAAAGCTTATTTTAATAATCAAGGATATGAACATTCATGGAGATAATCACACAGCTTGTTGTCACACACACTGTAACCCGACAAGCTTGTGGACAGAGGTGCAGCTTCTCAGATCCCCTCTTCTTCCTGACTGTAAAGGGTCCTCTGGCAACCTGCCAGCCTGATGACCGAGGACCAATAACCAATGCAAAACAGTTAGTTATTCCTGAATGGACTCTGAGACTGGATGGAGCTTAGGTATGTTTACCAGGAGCATTTTTCTGCAGGCCCAGGCCTTAGAGCTCTTCAATGTCTGGTCCTGCAGGAACTAAGCTAATAGTAGAATTTGGCCACATGGAGGAACCTCTGGTTTACAGTAGCATAGAATAGCATAGCAATTTTCTGTCTGATTGATTCAGTCTCACATCATCGTCAGGGGTCCTTTGTGACAGGCCGAGGTGCAGCCATAGGACAGCAGACCACTTATAACAAACTCACAATTCCTCACAAATCTTTACATAATTCCTCCAAAGTGAGGTCCTAGCTAGCAGGTAGGGGTCAAGGAGCAGGATCCAGCCTAGAAGGTGGAACTGCAGGACCTCCATCTATGGTCAGGGTCCCAGATAAAGCAGCTGGGATTCCAGGCTTGGTTGCAGAGGGAAAAAAATGTGGGACAGGTAACATCTATATCCAAGCCCTCTCCCCCATTCTGAGTGCCTTTCTACCCTTTAATGCCCCTCTCCACCGCTGAAATCCCAACAACATTCTTTTGACTCATCTGTAACAATAGTTCTCAAAGTGTGGTTCGTGGACCATTGAGGGTCCTCAAGGCCGTTTCAGGAAGTCTAAGGTCAAAACAACATTCTTAATACACAGATGTTATTTGCCTTTTTCCCTGTGCTGACATTTGCCCCAACAATGCAGAAGCAATGGTGTGCAAAACTGTTGGTACCTTAGTACATATCAAACTGTACTGGCAAGTGATTTTACAAACCTTTGTAAATTATTTTACAAATTTTGTAGATTATTTTACAGAAATACCAGTTTTACTTACAAGTGTCTTTGATGAAGCAGTAAACAATTTTAACTTTGTGAAATCTTAATATTCTGTGTGACAAAATGGGAAGTATGCATAAAGCACTTCCACTGTACACTGAAGTGTGACAATTATTAAGGAAAAGCACTTGTGCAATTGTTTGAATTGCAATGTGAACCCGCCACTTTTTTCATGGAACCCCATTTTTACTTGAAAGGATGATTTATATCTACCGCATGAACCTGACAGCCTCCTAATACTAAAAGGCTTTTTTGATGAATCAGTGGTAATATTAATAAATGTACTCTTGATATTATATAATGAAACATGTCAACATTAGGAATATCTGCATAACTCAGTCAACCAATATTTTCTAAATGACCAGTGCACGATGTTACAAATTCTACCTATAAATACACAGACCTATGATTTTAATGTAACAGAGTATGAAAAGTTCATTGATATGGTTTCAATTCCACCCTGCAATTCCCTTTAAGAAACTACCACTTACCCTGTGTTGGTATAGCATCAAAGAAGAATATCTACAATAATCTAAAAAGATTGTTAAAATGCTTCTCTCTTTTCCAACTACCTATCTGCGTGAAACTGAATTTTCTTCCTATGCTTCAAACCAAAACAACATACTGGATGCAGGACCAGATATGAGAACCCAATTGTCTTCCATTAAGCTATACTTTAAAGAAATATGCAGAACTGTTCACAATGCTACTCTTCTCACTAACTTTTTGTTATTGAAAATTTCTGGGTTTTTTTTTTTTCATAAATAGTTATGTTAACTTGTAATGGATTTATTACTTTGAATGAATTAATAAATACATTTTTTAATTTTTTTCAGTTTTCACTTATAATAAGTTAAAAATAAAAGCTTATTGGGGTTCTCAAAAATTTTTAAGAATATAAAAAAGTCCTGAGACTAAAAAGTTTGAGAACCGCTGCCCCATAATGTCTATTGCATGTGGTAGGGACATGCTCACTAAATAAATGCATAAGGAATGTGTCTCAGCCATGCGTGAAAAGAAAAGGCATACAGTGGGACATTCAGGTCAGGTGGAAAGTAGAGGCCACTGAAGCTGCTTTTTCTCAGATATCTCTCATGCCCTAGATGTTTCCTAACTGCTTTCTTATCAAAAGACACCAGTCCCAAGTCTCAAGTCCATAGCAGACAAGCTGCCAGATATAATTATTTAAATATAAGGTATCAAATTTAATGTTACCACTGTTTATTGAGCATATACTAGATATGCTAGGCATTGTGCTAGAAATGATGATACACTGATTAATAAGACATGGACCCTGGCCTCCAGGAAATTAGTCTAGTAAAAGATATGGCTAGATAGAAAAATAACCCTAACAATGAGATAAGAGACTAACAGGTCATATTTATACATGTTAAACAGACCTTTGATGATTTAACACAAAACAGAGAGTCCAGTAAAGTTTTTCACCAGTGAAGGAGTAAGTCAAGTTTGAGTCAGGGCCACCCCTTTGGAGTCCCTAAAACCGCACCAACTGTAAGAATTCCCTAATTCCTATCTTCTCTTCTTTCAGGCCAATAAACTTCCAGCAGAATTAACCAAAAATGAACGTATATTGCATCTCCTCCAAGATAAAGAAGGGCACAGGAAGAGTTGCACTACTATTTGACTGAAAAGTAGAAACCTTACCCACATTGTCCAAAAAGAAATTGCTTTTTAAATAGTGTTGGAAATTCTTTTAAGAAAGAAAATGCTCCAAATGCCCACTCTGGGACCCTGACCAAGAACAGCTGTGCTTTGTGTCCTGAATCAAGAACAGAACAGCTCAGGGACTCCTTTCCTTCCTTACCCGGGCTTCTCACGCTGGCCTATAACCCCACTCCAGTGGGGCCTGGCAGTTTTGTGGATTCCACAGAAACTCATTTTAAATTACACTAACTTGGGCCTCTCAGTTAAACTTGAATTGTTAAATCTTCTAAGAGGTTCAAGCAAGGAGACAGACTGTAAACCTATAAAAGACTGAAAGTCTGACCGTCAATGAATCAACACACTTTTGCTTTTGTGTTAACTGTAAGTGTGCTAAAAGATATAGCTCCGTTATAATGGAGCTACATCTTTATGTCATTGCAGTTTAAAATGTTCTCTTCTACGCAAGGATCATAGCCATGGTTACTAAAACTCAAGGATGTGTAAAGTTAGGTTATAAAAAGCCACTTCTGACATTCCACCATGTGCTTTTCAGAGATGGACTGTTGAACTATTAAAAAAAATTATTCATTTGTAAGCTGATCCTCATCTTATTCCTAACATGTAAAAATCATTTTTACCTAGAGTCCAGATTTTAGATATGGTAAGATACAAGTGGCAAATTTGGAAATTCAGAAAATTAAAACCACAAGAAATTTAAGCTTGTTTCATTGAGCTTTTGTTTTGGTTCTATTATTGGGAATCTATTTCCCGTGCCATAACTAAGTAGATTTAACATGCTGTGGAATCTTGACCTTCCAACACTACGTTGCTTCATACAATGACTTTGGGGTCTTTGGATAAAATGTGGTATATGCAAGTACAATATGTTGTTATTACTGTTGCAGGAGTTTAAGTAATAAAAGACTGTTATTAGCATTTAATAAGTGTTCATCTATGCATGTTCTTTAGCTGATTGATTCCAAGAAAGAAACCTAGATTTTATTGAATTATAAAATTCAATAAAAGGGTGTGTCAGAAGGGGGTGTCAAAATTTATATTCGACGCACTTTATAATCAATGGTGTCTAAATGCCTCAGTCAGTGCCTACTTGCACACATAAAAATTAAACCTTCTTTCTATAATCTACCATAATAAGTATTGTTGATATTTCTGTTATTTATCACATCTTTTGTTTTCTTATTTATGTTCTGCTCTGGTTTCCAGCCAGTGTTCTATGTGAAGGTATGTTAAGATGGAGGAAATATAAACTCAAAAGATTTTTTAACCAATTTTCAGTGATACTAAAAGCATTTTCTTTAAGTCAGTAAACAATGGAATATAATTTTTGAAATTAGAAAGTATTCTTTTAAAGTTTGTTATGATTAATAAAATAATCGATCAATAAAAATCAGCTTATTTTGATTAATATCACAAGCAAGACCAATAATGAGCAACCCACAGCCCCCAGAGATACCTACAGCCTGACTAGCTATGCGACATATCTGCAATCTAATTTTAGAATAAAAAATTAGAAAGCTGTATCTACATTGTAAAACACCCACATATAAACATTTTAGTAGCTAAAAAGCAGTGCCAAATCCTCACTGACTTTCTTTTATTCAGCAAAGTTGTACAAATACATATTTTCCCCTCCATAGGAATTTCATATAGCCATATTTATTTTGAAGAGGAAAATAATGTGGCCTTAAATGCGTTACATTTTTTTCTCAGCTCTGAGGCCAAAAATGATTGCTCATCACTGATATAAATCCAAACAGTATTATAGGTACTGATAACAAAGTTCCAAAAGACAAAATGGGGTGAAATCACAAACGTAATGTATTTTATTAAAACATGTTGTCTTTGGCCTAGTCAGTAGATCATTTTAGGTGGACAATGTTCTTGGTCAATATTAAGGCCATTAAAAATGAATCCAGTAGCTTTAACAACATTTAGTGGAGGCTTCTTTACTGTAGGTAAGGGGTCTCTCGCTTACAAGGCTCACATTTGGTCTAGAAGAAATTATCTCCTTAGCGGGGAATATGATTATATTAGTCACTCACCAAAGACTGAAAATAAAGTCTGTTATTTAAAGTTAAATTGCATTTATTTTACACACAGGGAGACGATTCTTATGTTATGTTAATCTAATTCACAATTCAATGGACTCTGTATCCTAAGACTTAGAACTAGCAATTCCTATGCAAATCATTTGCTTAACTGAACCACAAAAATTTTTTGTTACATCCATTTGTTTGATGAAATAATCCATGTTATAATTCAAAATAAAGTTAATATACTACCCAATTTGCCTTTGCTGCTTTTTCCTGTTTGTTTTTGATCAGAAGTTATTTCTATGTGGTTTTAATAAAATGGAATTTTAGAGTTAATAATTCAGCTCTGTAAGCTTTACGTTACATATGGACCTATGATTTCATTATTTCTGCTGTGGATAGCTTTTGTAATGATCCCAAAAGGTTTTCAATCAGACAAAAATTCCTGAGATAGTCATAGAAGATACTAAAAATAGAAACTCTTAGTTGTACATCATGATGATTCGATAAAGGCATACCTCATTTTATTGCACTTCACAGACGTTGCATTTTTTACAAATTGAAGGCAAGACCCTCCACCAGAAAAAAGATTTTGACTCACTTTATTGCAGTGGTCTGGAACCAAACCTGCAATATCTTCAAGGTATGCCTGTATACATTGTGAAAGGATTCCCCCCATCTAGTTAATTAACACATCCATCACCTCACATATTGATCTATTGTGTGTGTGTTCAACATCTTAATTTCTATTTTTATTGTCTATGATGCTCCTGGCTCTTCTGTCCTTTACAGTGGCTTTTTCTTCTGGAAACAAACAAACAAACAAAAAGGCTGATGGTTTTACACAGTTTCTTGTTTAAGGAACAGATATTTGCAGTGGTAACATTAGGATTCTGGAGAGCTCCATGGCCATTCTGGCTTTCTCCCCTGCTCCATCCACCCTCCGCAACCACAAGAAAGCTATGTCTCATCATTACCCCACTCCTGGGATACCTGGTCAGAGGATAAGAGCACCCCCAAATGCCAGGCTACTTGGAATCTGATGGAGATACCTGCATTTCGGGGTAGGCCCACACTGCAGATTCTAGGAGTGAGAAGCTGGGGTCCTACTTTCACAAGAAAGCGGTTTTGATGCTAGAACTGGCTGAGCCTCACAGGAAGTGACCTGGTGGAATCTGCAGATTAATAGCAACAGTAGAAACAGCAGTTATCCTTTGCTGCTTATTATGGATTGTTATGTGCTGAGCACTTTACAGATAATCTCATCAAGTTTATATGCCTTTTCTTGTTTACCCCTGACAACCATCCTATGAAATAGACACTATTATTATCCCCTCCTTGCAGCTGAGGAAACTGACTTAGAGGGATCACCTCCCTCAAATGTTGGTGCTGCCCTCCAACTTGGGGTTTTGCTTTTTTAGTGAGGGAAAGCCAGGGAGAGTGGTGCCCAGGTGGAGTCACAGTTGAACCATGAAAGCCGTGAGGGTGGAGAATACGGGACATATTTTTCAAAATATTTAGAGGTAGAGCTAATGCTAATTGGTGATTAATTGAACATAGAGAGTGAGGAAAAGATAGGAATTATACTAAGGTGTGTCAGGGGCCCCTAAGACCACCCCCAGTTTTGGTGATTTGCTGGGAGAACTCCCAAGGCTCATCATAAGATCATATTCACAGTTAAGATGACAGCAAAAGGATAGATAGAAATATCAGCAAAGAGAAAGGGAAATGGAGTGAAGGTAGAGGGAACCAGGTGCAAACTTCCAAGAGTTCTCTCTCAGTGGATTGACACAGGATGAGCTCAATTCCTCTAGCGATAAGTTGTGACAACATTGCAAAGTGATGTCTACTGGGGAAGCTCATTACAGACTCATTTGGGCTTTTAACTGGGAGCTGGTTCATAGGCACCCTCTGCCTAGCATTTATCAAAATTCAGACTTCTACATTATTTGTACAAACAATTTAGGCATGTTGAGTCATTATCATTTAGGGAAAGTTTTATATCAGTTTAGGGAACTGTTTGCCAGTCAAGTCCCCAGATGCCAGCCAGTGGCCAACCTTATAAGCAAAACTTTCTAAGGATAGCAGTTTCTGCTGTGTTAACTCTTTTCCATGCAAAAGATTTACATGGTGGATGGTGCCAATAACTGTGCTAGGAAAAAGAAAAGAACAGCAGAGTTTGGGGTGGGGACAGAGAGAGAGTTTGGACATGTTTCCTTTGAAGAATGTGTGAAACTGATTCCAGAAGGCAGTCGTAAATAACAGCTTAATGTTTAGGACAAGACTTACTGATTTGGAGCATGAGCGATGTAGAAGCGATAGAGTCATGGGATAAAGGAGGGAGACTGGTGAGAGGAAAAAAAAACGAGAATAAAATTTGAAGTAAGAAGGAAAGGTAACAACAACAACAAAAAGAGATAAAATGGACAGGAGTGGGAAGTAAACCATGTTTCTAGGAAGGAGAAAGTCTCGAGGAGAGGAGAGTGAGCAACAACCCTCGTAAAGAAGTGTGGCCGTGTAGCATAAGGGCCGACAAATCCCAGAGTTCTTTCTGCTCCACAACTTTGCCCTTGGTGAGTTTGTTCAGTCACCAAAGAATTCTAGGCCTGTGTTAGAGTGGATAAAGGTAACTAGTCCCGGTGTCTGGTCAGGACCTAGAGCTAAGGCTAAGTTATAATAAATAGTTGTCTTGATTCTAGCTGTGATAGGTAGAACTGTGTTTGTGAAGCCACTCTTAGCACTTCCTAGTAATTGTTGGGAACACTCAGAATGCATTGCTTCTTCTTTGTCAGAAAGAAAATACTTTGTGACATATTATAGAGATGCAAGATCTCTCTAGTGCAATGTAGATGGGCCTGTGGGTCACTGTCTTACTACTTCCCTGGTAAAATGAGAAAAAAACACATTTATCTATGCTGGTCAAGGTCAATTGGTTTAATTAGTGGGTTTTATCTCACTGTGACAAGATGCTAAAAAATTTGCGCATAGAGCCAGGTTGAGGTGAATAGAGCCACACTATTTTAGAGTCTTTCATGCCATTGTCCCACATCAGCTTATGCCTTTGTGGTAGCCTGTACTTCAAAGAATGGAGGAAAACAAACAACCAGAAAACAAGTGATGTGCTCTCTGAGCAAAATTAGAATAATGTATTTCACATTCCTCTAGCTGAGGGCCCAAGGAAGTCTCTTGACTCTTCTTCACCTATCGAACATAGTTATAAAAACCAGTAATAGGTATTTTCTCCAGGCTCTTTGACTACTATACTTAGCCTTCAGTTAAATAATTTATGCATTAGTGGGTCTGGAAATTCTTAGAATCTTTTCCTGGTGTTCTTACCCTTATTTTTAGCTTAAAATACTTTAAGATAATTTTAAACTGTGAGTGAAGTCGTGTTTTAACAATTGAGGGAAATTCATTAAAGACCTTCAGTTCTCAAATGCCTTGTCAGCTTTATTTCTGTCAACAGAACGAATTACTTCTCCCATTTTTGGTCTCTTCTGTCCCTCACTACAATTTAGCTCTCTACTTTTTAATGAGGGAAAGGCTGTTATTATTCCCACTTCTCTCAGTTGGACTTGTAAGAATAGCCTTAGAAAGAAAGTCTTCAGTTTATAAGAGTTAGACTCCCTGATTTGGGAAAGATTAGACCAAAAACCAACTCAGGCAAAAAAGATCGCGTCCTGTGACTGAATCCTCCAGAGAAAGGAATGCCAGTGTGAAATGCTGACTGCCAAGTTTCAAGTTATCCCCACACTAGCAGCATCGTATCTGAGTGGAAGTTACACTGCAACCCATGACTGGATTAATCAACAAGTCAAGTACCCTTACTGCGGTGAATAATGTTTTACCATAAGTCTGACCAACAATGCCCCATTTCTGCGTCAATTATAACCACTGGCACTAAAGTCATGAGTTGTAGCTGTAAGCTATTTTAAATGAAGATGCCTGTGAAATTCAGCTTGCTTAATTTAAGTATGGACTTTTAAAAGTCTATTGCAGAACCCAAAAGAATTGAGTGCATATTTCAAACAAGACATACATGTGAATGTTCATAACAACTCTATTTATAATAGCCAAAACTGGAAAAAAAGCCCAATGTCTGCCATGGTATTTTTATACCTTGGAATATTACTTAGCAGTGAAAAAACAAAAGGATGAACTACTGCTATGAACAATGAGGGTGAGTCTCACATCCACACATCTCACAATGTTGAGTGAAACCAGACACAAAAGAGTATGATTCCATTTACACGAAGTTCAAAAACAAACAAAACCAATTGATGGTGATAAAAGTCAGAATAGTGCTAGCTCTTGGTAGGAGCAGAGTGATGATATTGACTGTAAAAAGGCATGGGGGAGCCTACTGGAGTGCTGAAAATGTACATGTGCTCCAAGGATCTGTGGTAACAAGCCTCCAGGAAGGCCCCCAACACTCCCCTCCTCTGGTATTCTTGTCCTTGTGTAGTTCCCCTCCTACACTGGATCAGGACTGGTCTGTGTTATCGATAGCATAAGGCAAAAGTGATGGCACGTCACTTTTGAAGCTAGATCATAAAAGCCATTATGGCTCTGCCTGATCTCTCTTGGCTGGCTCACTCTGGAGGAAGCCAGCTGCCAGGCCTCGAGGACACTCCTGCAGCCCTATAGAGAAGCTCATATGGAGAAGAGCTGGGGACTCCTGCCAGCAGGGCCCTGAAGCAGATCCTCCAGCCTCAGTCAAACTGTCACATGAAGGTAGCCTGACTGACATCTTGACTACAACCTCATGAGGGAAGCTGAGTCAGAACCACCCAGAACCACGCAAAGCCCTGGCTGACACAAACTGTGATATAAGAAATGTTTGTTCTTCTAATTTATTACATTTTGGGGTAATTTGTCATGAGTTAATAGATAGCTAATATAAGTATGTAATATGTAAAAACTCATCAAACTGTACATGTAAGCTTTGTATACTTTATATATGTGTTAAATATTAATAAGAAAAAGGTCTATTACCAAAAAGACGTTCTCAAAAATGCTCCATCTGAAACTCCCTAGGGGTTTGTCAGAAGCATTAACTCAAGGTCTCCTATATTTCACCACAATGTGTTGGCAATGTGTAGTCTGACAGAGGGAGAGAGGTGTGAGCTGGTCATTTACTCCTGTTCCCTGTGTTGAATCAGCCAGCTTCCTACTATCCACAAGTGATTCTTTTAGAGTGTAATCTAGTCGCTGGTCCTTTTGAGAGGCAGTCTAGCAGCAAAACTTACAATG